AGGAAGGAGCAGCTTCAGCCCATGCATGGGCACAAAGTGCAGTGGTGGTTTATCTGTCAGGAACCATGCATGGCTCAGGGCAGGGGGGCTCTTCAACACCAGCGTGGAAAAGAGATGACATTGGGATAGATCATGGGCCAGGCAGCCGGGGATGGGTCTACAGCGGCATGCTGGGGCGCACACCCACCCCAGGGTACACCACAGGTGACACCTTCGCCAGCCAGGTTGCTCACATATTGCATCACCCCAGGCTGCTCCCTTCCCTGGGCAGCCCCAGCAACTTGTCCTGCAACCCAAAGCAAAGCTTCTTTGGCAGGAAAGGGGGTGCAGATATTGGGAACCAGGCATCTCCCAGCTCAGGGGGCTCTTCTGATGCCATAGGGGGGTTCTACCAACATGGGTCATGCCCCGGACACAGCTGGCACCAAAAGGCGATATGTCACCTCCCAATCTAGCTTTAGGCACCCATGGGGAGAAAGTAATTTGTGCCTTGGCCACAAGGCCCCCTTCAGTGTTCCCCACCAGCTGCACACTTGGCCTCATGGCCTTTCCTGGTCCCCCACCCCAAGGTGCCCCCATATCAGGGGGCAGCAAGAGCAGGGCTGCTCCCTCAGGGAGGAGGGAGTAAGTGGGACCCCAGGTCCAGCAGGGCACATCCCACAGTACCTGCATGGCAGACTGGGGCAGGTCTGAGACAATGCCCAGGTCCAACCAAGAGTCCAAAGCAACCCAAAAGTCCAGATCCAGCAACACCATGGTGATGAGATGGGGCCAGCGTGAAGCCAGGAAGACAAGCCACAGATCAGGGCCAGGTCCAGCAATGGCCAGGCGAGTCCACGGTAATGGCACAAGACAAAATGTCAGGCTTACAGGCTGAGGCCTTGGATCAGCAGAGCCCATAGTCTAGGCACAGATGGAGCTAAGCTGGATACCAGCACTCCTCCAACACAGCTCCCACAGGGAGTGGTGGCTCCAGCTGAGCTTAAATAGGGTTCCTGAGCATGCAGGGAAGGCTTCTGGCTGTGGGGTGCTGTCAGGTGAGGCTGCTATGGGGAAGACTAATTAGCGCCTTCAGAGCTGGCACTAATTGGCGTGTCTTCTGTATTGGGAGGTGCTCCTCGAGGTGGCACAGCTGCTCTGTCAAGGTCTGACAGCACCGCATGTGGTGGGAATGCAGTTCATGCCCATGGGCCCTCTGACCTGAGCCTGGCCCTGGGAAACACTTCAGCACAAACTACACCAATGTGATCACAATCTCCATCCTGTGCAAGACACACACTATTTCATACTTACTCTTACCCTCCTTTATAATTGCTATGCTCTCGTGGGCAGTAACAGCAGCTGTTCCCACATCCTCACTGTAGACCTATTTGGAATCACTCTGTACCTTCCCCAGGGTAAATGCAAAAGGAATTTGACCCAAACACCACTCTGACTTTGGGATGCAGTTGCAGGGTACAGAGTATCTGCTGGTCTCCCCATGAGCCCCAGCCACTCCGTGATGGGGAATGGTCATACCAGTGCTGCTTTAATTACTGAACCAGCCGTGCTTTGCTCAAGGCCAAAGGCAGTGCCACACCTGCAGCGGAGTGGGAGCTGCTTTCCATAAATCACTGCTCCAAGCACAACAGGAAGGTGTGCCTGACAGGAAGAGCTCTTGCCAACCAAGGAAGCCTTCCCAGTGCCACCTACAGCCACCACTATAGCAGATATACGTGACAACTCCTGCACGTCAGGCAGCCCCCATTCACCTGGGGGATCCGGAGGAGCTGGATAAAAGCACAGGACAGACGTGCAGCCACAACTATTCTTTTTATCCCTAGCAATACCTCCTACAAAGTCATATTTCCAGATCTTTTGATTACAGAGAAGCTATTAAGAGTAAAGAAGGGCTGAGGAGATCCCTTATAGATGGATGAGGCTATGGACAACACAGCATGGTACCCCTCTGCAGTCCCCCTACTCCGTCAGGTGTTGTACCCACTCCTGAGTGCATGGTGCATTAGGAAGCAAGAGCTGGGAACAGGACAGTGACCCATCCTCGTGACTTGGACCCATGGGACCAGCTGTCCCAGCATCCTGTGACACCCATGGCCCAGCACTACTGGAAGAAAATGAGCCCTTCACCGGGTGAAGGGAGCTGACAGCGCAGGGGAGGCGTGTGGGATGCTTTCAAACTGAGGGTGTCTGGGCTGTCTACCAGCCCTTCAATTCACAGCTCAGCTATGCAGGAGAAGAGCCAGACCACCAGTTCAAGTGCCCCAGCCCCGGGGTTTCTCTCTATCCTTCAGCTTCAGTCCCATCCCTCCAGCTCGACCAGCATTTTCCCTGGAAAATGCAATTGGATAAAGAAATCCATGTCAGGCTAAGGAGGACAAAGTCTATGGTGAAAGCACATCACCACACACCTGGCATCTCAGTCATACCCATTGAGTAAAAGCTCTCCAGGAGAGCCTTGAGTCCCATGCCACTGTGCTCTTTGTGCTTTGGTCCCCACATTCCAGCCTCGGATGTGCTGCAGGAGGAGCTGTTTACATCTCAAGCCAGGATCATCACCCCAGCACTTCAGCAGGCGTGCCACGGTGTGGCCTTGGCCAGGGATGTGTGGGAGTAGCTATGATGATGAGCAACTCCTTGGAGAGGTTCTCCTGGCTCTGAGGCAGCATAAGATTTCTCCTGTGCCGAGCAAAGGTGGAGAACCTCAGCAGTCCTGGCACAGCCATTATGGGAGACTCTGATGTTTAAGTCTCTTTAGCTGTTCCTTTCCCGTAGACCAGCTTCCTTTGCACACAGCATTGAGAAATGAGCCACTGGGCTCCTGGTGCTCAGCACTGTGGATCGCCCATGTGCCAGCTTCACTGCCTTAAAAGTGCCTGGCAGGGCTGGTGGCTTGGCAGAGGATCTCAGGGGCCTGGGGCCAGGGACAGTATGGACAGATGCCTAAGCTGCGATCTTGGGGGAGACTGGGGTTGGGGACAATCTGAAGAGCCATTTGAGCTGGGACCTGAGTCCTGGGAGCAAGTTGGGACTGGGGACAACCTGGCGAGACATCCTTATCTTCTGGTGGGGAAAGTCCTCTCTGTGGCCTGGAGGTTCCTGTGCTTTCTGATGAAGGTCTGCAGAAGTACCAGCTGCTGTGCAGGCTGGGAGCATGTGGAGGCCTGGCACATGTGCAGGCAGCACTGGCCAGATTGTCACATCCAGCACTGGCCGAGGGATGAGGTGGTCTTCATGCAGCAGAAGGCTGAGCCCCACTTCTTAGCACTGAGAGGAGCTCTGTGGGAGGCAAAGACCTTGGCAGGTCTTCATGGAGCACAGGGCACCTGTGGACCCCATGCCTTTTGTAAAATAGTCAGGACAGCTTTGCTTTGGGAGGGAGTTGATGTGCAGAAATGGGGTGAGAGAGAGGGGGAGGCAAGACAGCACAATGTGTCCCCAATCTTCCTGAGCAGAGGCACAAGGGGCCCCACGCTGCTGAGCCTAAGGGTGCTGAGCTGCTCCCAGTGAGCCTAGAGCCACCAAGCATGCAGCTCATGGGGGATACAAAGGCACGGGCTGGTGCCTCAGCAAAACTCAGGCAGCTCACTTGGGGCAGGGTTGGGACCCCTGGTTTAGGGCAGGTGAATCTTAGAGGGATGAAAAGAAGCTCTGCAGATGCTCAGCTCTACTCGAAGTCACCCCTCTCTCTCACACGGGGTGATGGTTTGTGCAGAGGCACCCAGGGACCTCTGGCACAACTAAACACCCTGTGGGTGGACTGCAAGTGCAGACATCCAAAACTAAGTCTAAATCCCCTCCAAAACAACTCAGGCATCCCCACAGTACCTACAGCCCCTTGCACAGTCCTTGGAAGCCTGAATTCCTCCCTTGTGAAGGCAGCACTGCCATCAGCGCTGCTGCCTGTCCTGATGCCACGACAAAAGCCATCTGCAATCCAACACCCATGGGTGCCTGCTTTGGCAGCACCCCCGCAGCCCAGCACTATAGACCCTGATGGCATTTTCAGCTTCCAAGCCAGGGCAGTGTGGGTGATGCTTACCTCTCCTGTCATACTCTTGGGCTTTGAACTCCTCTCCCAGGCACAAGAGACCTTGGTAGAAGAAACCAGAAGTAGCCTCTGTCCCTCTGCCAGCTGGAAGAGGAGTGGAATCCTGGTCCCTGAGTTGTTTCTGTTTCTTATCCAGGATAAAAACATATTAACTGTCCTGGTAGTAAAGTCTCACTAAGTTATGGAAACCAGCTCACACACGCCACTTTTTGTGGACACTTGCATCTAGAAGGTGGCTTAGCTTCATTCAGAGCCCTTCCCCTAAGTCACGCAAGCAGCCCTTCCTGCTCTCTGCCCAGCTGCTCTCACGCTGCAGGGCTATTCTGCAGGAGAAAAAGGCTCCTCCACTGGATAATTTCAAGAGGAGAAACCATGGACAGGCAGTCCAGCCCAGCACCATCTCAGCCAAGGCCACACTTCCCCAGTCACCAGCCTAGGCCCCCCAGGCAGCTCTGGGGGATGGAAAAGCTGTGCAACACACAGCTTTTGGCACTGCTGCACTGTGTGGGTTTTGGATCTGGCTTACCATGAGTGTACCTCGAAGAGCTGTGCACACAAGCTGCATCGAGGTGGTCTGCAAAAAACATGCAGCAAAACTGTAGCCCTTGCTCCCAGTCTGAGTCACTGGGAAGCACAGGCATGGCAGTGCAGCTACATCGGTCCAGAAAAGAAATCTGGGAGGAAAACCACATTTCAGTCAAAGAAAGGAAATGTACTTTGAATGATTTTATTCAGGATAGTTTGGATTTATTCTTGACAATAGCTCTGGAAGCAGGAGTTTGTGATGGAAGTCTTTGGAGACCAACAATTAGAAAGAGGAAATCAAACAACCAGTGCAAACATCCACAGGATTATGTGTATGATAATTCACAGCAAATTGTAGAAGGGGATTTAGGCACAAAACCAAAACAGCAATGTCATAAATAATACCTGCTCAGTTTGCCTGCTCAAAACAAGGACATGTGCTTTTCCTGAGGTGCTTCCAGGCAGCATGCTCTCTCCAGGGTCTCAATGGCAAAGAACCTCTCCTTGGCCTCACAGGACTGGGAGCAAGCTGAGGACTCCCACTGCACCCGGCCCAGCCAGCCTAAACTGCCTTTGCCAGTGTGTGTTGCTTAATACATGCCAGCTGCTATTTTGTGCTGTCTAGATAATGAGTGTGGTGAAGTGTACCCAGAAGCAAAAAGCAGAAGAGCTCGCAGGAGGAGTTGCCACCACCAGACCTGAAACAATCCAGTGGTTATTTCTGCACTGGCTGGCGCAGCTGAGCAGTCTTCAAGACGAGCCCAAACAGACTTGTAGGGCAGAAATCTCAATGGAGGTGCCAAAGGTGAGCTCAGGTATGAGCTCAGAAGAGCAAGAACTCGGGAATGGGTCCAAAAAGCAGTCTCCAGAGCGCGTGGTCACGTAGGAGATGGGGAAGTCGGAGTTCTGACTGCCCGTGCATTTGGGGGATGAGGAGCCACAAATTCTCTCAATTCTCCCAGGTGTCCAGCATGGCTTCTGCTCTGCACATCACCAGCCAGGACCAAGAAAAGCAAAGAGTTGAAGACTGCAAAGGGTGAGCCATGGCTACGTGTACTGCAGGGACAGTAACCCAGTTACTATTTCTCCTCTTGTTTATATGCCGCAGCGTCTGTCCTCATCTCACAACTCCTTAATGACAAAGTGTCCCAAATGAGCATGTGAGGAACAAAGCATCTCACAATTAATGGCTGGTTGCTTGGGCTTTGTTGCCTGTGCCTTATTCACAGAACATTAGGAACATGTGAAGCATCTGGAGGAGAACAGAGACCATGTTCCAGAGCAGCCCCAGCTGCCATCCCTCCACCTTGACCAGGACAGAGTCAGTGCAGGCCTAAGAAAGGACACCTTGACCACAGCCTGGTGTAACATACTCCTCCATAAGCCCAGAATTTTGCAAATCCTGAGAGCAGGAATTGGCCTCTGCAGTAAGTCACTACAGCAGGTTGACTTTGGCCACAACCTGCTTGCAGCCCATCCTGGAGTACTGCTTGTCCCCTGTAGTGTAGTAACTGAGCTGACTCGCTAAATTTTCAATATGCTTCTGGTCAGGATACAGCCCTTCCCTCCTCATCTCCTCTAGGAAGCAGTTTATGACGTGACTTTTCTCCAGAAGAACAAATGGGATGATGTCCGCAGATTTCCAGAGGGGGTGGACATCAATCAGTACAGGCTGGATGATGCTCAGCAGTTCTTCAAGTCCCCTTTGCTGATGCAGAAGCTCAGCAGATGCATTCTGGATAACAAACTTGGTTATTTCACCACCTCCTATGTTGCTTATTAAAATGTAGACAGCATTGAGGAACTCATTGGTTTGATTGGGTTCAAAGAATCGGCTGAGAGTATCCAGCAGGACTGGAGACATGAGTTCAACCTCATCCAGAATAAACAATGGTATCTTCTCTTCTATTTCAGCTCTTGTAACCATGTCAGAAATCTTCTTAGACAAATCTATTTCACAAGTAAGAGGAGCCACCTCGTTGGGGCAGTGATGCATAACAAAGTACTGAAGCACAAAGTCGTTGTCCATGACAGAACGAAAATGTTTAGCCAGCAGCCAGCCAACATGACTCTTCCCAACTCCTGTCGGGCCATTTAAAGAGATTACTAGAGGTTTGTTGTGTATGTGGGTAGCCAGATAGTCTTTCAGTAATTCCATAATACTTTCCACAGCAACTTTCTGCCCAAATACTTCCCGGTGCATTGTTTTCTCCAAACCATCTAGGTCGTATTTTTGGAGGTTATCATCCAGGTTCTCTATTGCATTGAGAATCTGAAAGAAGATAATGACAATGAGCAAGAGGAGGCAGCGTTTTGCTTTGCTCTTCTCCTCTGTTGGAAGGTATCTTTTTGTTTTGTCTGGATACAGGACTATCCTAGATTTCCGTCGATTCTTTTTCCGCCTGCATTTTTTCATAGAACACTGCTCCACAGATGTGTCAAAGGTGAAGTACTGGGAAGTTTCAAAGCTGGTCTGATTAAAGAAGGACATGGAAGGGCCATACAGGCTAGTTCGGTTCAGGGAAAGCTGCCTTTGAAGCAGCCTTCTATGGACAAGCTCTGAAGACTTTTCTCGAGGGAGCTCTAAATGCAGGCGGCTTTTCTTTTGCACCCCGTATTGTCGTCGCAGGCGGATGATTGCCCTCAACGGAGAAGAAATAGAAGACATTTTCTTTGAAACAGCAGGGATTTCAGTATCTGGTACTTCTTCCCCATCACTCTCATAGCAAGATGCCTCTCCTTTTGCGTCACTCTCAGCACAGGGCATTTCCCCTTCCTCATCACTGTCAGTGCCGGGCATGTCTCCTTCCACGCTGATCTCAGCACAGGGTGCCTCTTCTTTTGTGTTGGTCTCCGCACAGGGCACCTCTCCTCCCAGATCTTCTGTGGCAGAGGACACTTCTCCATCCACCTCAGTGCAGGGCAGCTCTCCATCCATCTCGTCTGGTTCTTACAACCCATTCACATCACCTTCTTTCTAAAAAGAAAAAGAATAATGTAAAAGCAATCTTTGTAAGATCAGGAAGTGACTAATAACAGTCAAATTATTAGACAGATATCCCAGTTTCTAATGGGCAGAACAGTTACCTGTAGCAATCAGCAATGGCAAGGTGGCAGAGAGAGACTTTTGGACCTAAGCTAACTTTCTGGAAGATGCTCTAGACATGCAAAACTACAGATGAAATTCAGTGTAAATAAATGCAAATCAATGCATATCATAAAACCACCCCTGCCTTCACATACAGAAGGAAAGCTTGAAGCTGGCTGGAGCCAAAGCCAGGGGCTCTGCTACGTGCTGCCATAAGCAAGAGGCAGGACACTGGGCATACAGATCCGTGCTGTGAACCAGAGCTGTCCCGTCCTATTTCCTTACAGCTGCTAAATTTAAGCAAGACACAAAACCACACCTCTGCACCAGCATACGCACACACACATGTACACACCCCTATAGGAAAGAGTCACTCGTACAACCACAGAGACCTTCCGGGGTGTGGGAGCGTGCACGGGAGCAACTTGCTGTGGAAAGGCTCTTGCCACTCAGGTTGTGGTGGCACGGCATCTCCCTGGGGGAGGATTTTTCCTGGCTGTGCCGACGGGTATGCCAGGCAGCATTGGTCACTGCCGGCAGGGAGAGGAGGTGAAGGCGGCATCCAGCCAGCACTCAGCCCTCGGCCCACAGCTCCCCGGGCTGCCCCCAGATGGGGAGGACTCAGGTTGCAGAGAACTGATGTGGTTGTGACTAAGCCTGCTAGCAGCATGTGGCTATGGGGAGGGGAGAGGAGCGGGGCTGCCCCACAGCACCCCAACCCCACAGTCCTTCCCTGCCCCATCTGCCCACACACTTGCACCCCCCGACATGTGGCGGCCACTGTGTCCTTCCCACACAAGTCCCCGGAGCTGCGCAGGAGAGCATCCCTGGGAATAACCATCTGCGGGGGGATGCATGGACAAGCCTTGGTCAGCGAACAAGGAGGAAGAGGAGAGGCCGTGCTCCGGCTGCAGGACGTGATGACAAGAGGCATGGACCTGATGGGGAAGCCCCAGGGAAAAAACAGCTCTCCAGGCCTGGATGCAGCCATGCGGCACAGGACCCCGTGCACACACGGCCACCTCCATGTGCTGCAGCGCCAAGCATGGCTCTGTCCCTGTCCGGCATGAAGCCGGTGGCGACAGAAGCTGTGTCACGGTGGGAGGGCATTTCCCTGCTGCCTCTGGACCACAGCAGCGGTGACGCAAGGGACGGTTTGCCGCTGTGATATTACCAACCCTGAGAGCAGGAAGCTGGTACAGGCAGGGTGAGGAAAGCCGCTTTCATCGGCCACCCAGAAAAATCATCCCTAGGTCTTGCCAAAAGCACCACTTCTCTGGAGAGGAGGAGGAGGTCCCCGAAGGGTTTGTTATTAACTCACTTCAGCTCAGCAGGAAGTTATCAACCTGCAAAATGTCACGGTCTGGCGAAGGTTTTACTTCCCTCACCATGAGGCTGATGCAGGCGGGTGCCCGCTGGCATGCAGCGAGCAAAAGGGTGGCCAGGGAAATGCTCTCGTCCGCCTCCTCGCTTCACCCCGCTCCTTTCCCAGCTCCTTGGAAATGCCAGGACATGCCGAGCAAAGGCTTCGCCCCCGCCCCAGGGACAAGTTGATTTCTGGACCATGTGCCTGCAGCCGGCTCGTTGTGGGAACCAAGCCTGAGCCAGCGGCTCCCCCAGTGCTGATCACTGGACGAGCTATTGCTGTGCAGCAATTAGCCCCGAGTGCTAATTGCTGACCATGTGCAGGATTTGGCTGTGCCCACAGCAAAACCAGCCGGAGGAGGTTGCTGCAAGCAGGTGCAGAGGCGGCACCAGGCAGGAGGGCTGGGGACCACCGCCACCTGGGATGCCACCACCAGGGATGCCACTGGGAATCCTGGGCTGTCCCCATGCCACCCTGGGGTCACAACCTTACTTCTCTCCATCTTGCACATTTTGCCTTGCTCACACAGCGCCTGAAGGTCCCCAAAGGGACAGCCGTCCCCACAGCTACTGGCAAGCAGCCCCTGTGGCACAGACCAGCACAGGCCATGGTCCCCAGGGAGCGGGGATGCCGCAGAGCTCAGCCTGGGGCCAGAACAACCCTCCGGGCCATAACACACATCAACACAAACACGAAGTGAAGCTTTCTCAGCCCCAAACCCACGCAGGTGTAGAGGGGATTGATTAAATGCCAGGGGAGAGCTGTAGGACTTTACGGGAAAAGGTTTAGGGAGCAGAAGGATGCTGGCAGGGAAACATGAGACATCCCAAACACTCCCCACGGATGCTGCTGGGTGCCCACCCCACCCTGCCCATAGCCCTGGCCGAAGCATGAAGCGGTTTGGCTCCTCGCAGCCTGGAGCCGACTCTCCTACCACTGCTGTGTCCGCGCGGGGAGCTCTAGGCCAATGTGAGGATGATGGAAAACAGCGAGGACTGAGTGCTCACTAGCCGGGAGATGCTCAGGACCCTCTTTCCCAAAAGCTGAGAGCCCAAAAAGCACATCCATCCCAGCAGCATGGGATGCCCAACCCTCCAGATGAGCCGAGTGAGGCAGGGTGGAGGGACCAAATCCCATCCTCAGCAAGAAATCTGTCCAGTCATGCATATAATAACCCTATTAATAACATGACTCAGTCCCTAATACCTGCTGGTATTTACATAGGACTCGAATTTTGTAAGAGCAGCCCCCGCGTGCTCAACATCAGATCAGGGCCGGGGCAGACGGCTGTGCCAGCCCAGCAGTGCTGCCAACCTGCAGAGATGCACTTTTGGCAGCTTAATTAGATGTTTGGTGAAAACTATAGGAAAAAGAACCCGGCAATTAGGTCCACAGAATCACAAGTGCTCATGTAAACACTGTTAGCCACTGCTCTGCACCGAGTCCAGCCGCACCACGGGAAGACTTGCATTTAGCTCTTGGAAATGCTCCTGAGAAACCTCCAGCTTTCCTCCTTTAACTCTTCCCCTAACATCTGCATTCATGTGTCACCCTGCTCCTGCCAGAACAAGGTTTCCACAACAGAGGAGCCTGCGTGGGCAGACAGAAGCAGCCAGGCCAGGAGCAGGATGGGGGCAGCCTCCAGGCAGATGGCATTAGCGGGTAGAAAGTGCCTGGTTTGCAGGAGACATCAGCCCAATGCCAGCCGGAGAAACGTGTCCCCGGTTAAAGTGCCGGCTGCTGAATCCCGAGGACAGCATTGGAGAGGAGGGAGCTGCACCCCAGACTTGGGCTCTTTGGCTTAGCAAAGCTGCTAGGAAAAGGGAATGGCTAGAAAATGAGCAAAATGGCCCCTTGCAGTGCGGGCTGCAGATTAAAGGGCATCAGTGGCTGGGAGCGGAATTCCTGGATGCTGGCAGAGGCCAGCATGGCTCCAGCACAGGGCACAGCCCCAGCACCCGACTTGCAGCTCCCTGGGGGCACCACATGGAAACAAGCTGAGAAATATGGTTTGCTTTGTGCCTCAATCCTGGGGCATGCAGGCACTCACCCTCCCCAAAAACACAGCACGAGGGTGATGTACAATGCAAAACCCACCCATACCGCCCCAAAAGCCTGCTTGCCACCAAATCCCACCAGCCCCACTCCCAGCCCAAATTTTTTGCCAAGCCCCAAAGACAGAGACCAACGGGAGGGGCAGCAAGCGGAGGGGAAGAGCCCAGAGCATCCGAATCCAGCGGGAACAGGAGGGTCCCTGCAAAACTGGGGCGGTTTTTGGTGAAAAGGGGCCATTGGGGATGAGCAGGAGGCAGTGGTGGCGACAGAGCTCAAAGTGGCCGAGGCCAAGGGGTGCCCTGGTGACCCTCTGTGGGGTGGGGAGCGGGACAGGGAAGCCGAACCAAGCGCAGTTACCGGCAGCGTCTCCCTCGGGGCCAGCCGCCGGTGCTCCACTTCGGCCGCTGAGCCCAGCCTCTGGCCTCGGACAGGCCAGCTGCTCCTCTGCCCCCCCTTCTCTCATCCGTATAAAAAAACCCGACTGTAGAGAGGAAATGGTGAGGAGGAGTGGCCCGTGGCTGCACTTCCTTCTCCCCATGGCGTGGGACGGCTGACGGTGGCCGGTTTTCTCTCCCTCCTCTTGCTTAAAGCCCTCCTCAGCGGCTGCCGTCAGACGGCATCGTGCGAAGAAACACGAATCCTGGGCGGCCGCAGCAGGACTGGGTTGGGGCAGCGGGATGAGGTCATCATCCATGCAGCCTTGAAAACCCTGGGTTTGGCCAAAACATCCCCACCCTATGGGGTGTAATTAGCCCTGAGCCTGTCACCGGTAAAGGTCAAAGCGATGATACTGCAAGGAGAGGTTATTGGGGCTAACCCAGCACCGGTGTAGCTCAGGGACGAGGTTTCGTACCAAGCAGGGAAAACAGGGAGGGCAGAAAATAGAGCGAATCTGGGAAAAAAATAGTGAGTCCATAGAAAAATAGTGAGTCTGGAAAAAAATAGCAAGTCTAGAGTAGTTGAATTGTCTGTCCCGGGGCAGGCTCCTGCACCACAGCAGCCCCTGCTCTGCTGTCCCCAGCCACCCCGACCCGCTGAGGCTTTTGGCCCCTTTGCAGCCCCCAGCCCCATGGCAGAGGGACGGCGGGACGGCCAGGCCGGGCTGCATGGCAGCTGCAGAACCGACCTCTGGAAGAGACGGTGTGGGCACTCCAAAGCCCTCGCTGCACAAAAACTCCCTGGGGAAGAACTGCTTCCTCCACCAGCTGCATTAAGAGAGAGAAGAAGGAAACAGTGGGGTTTTTTTCCGTAGCCAGCAGTGCAAAAGTTCATCACAGCAGTTCCTCCTCATCTCCACCTGCAGTTCAACTTTCCTTTAGCCCTAACCAGCCTGCTCCAACCCCTGCCCCACCTCTCACCTGCACTTGCACAACCTGGCCAAGGCTTTTCCCCAAAAAACAAGCCCATTTGGTAAAGCCAGAGCAGCCCCAGTGTGACCCCTTGCCGGTCTTTCAAGCTCCTATTTTTGGATCAGCTCCCAGCTGGAATCTGCTCTCTGTGAGAGTGGCTGCCCAGGACCAAAAATAGGGGAAAAAAAAAAAAAACCAATTTGAAGTGTTTTGGAGCATCACAGCACAGATCCCACCCTGGCTGCAATGCACATGAAGGACCCCGCAGCTCCATGGGGTGGGGATGCTCTGAGCAGGGTCCCCCAGCCCAGACCTGCAAAGTCTCCCCAGCTCTGTGCCAGGCGCCCAGACATGCCTCTGCTGTGGCCTGGGCGGGATTTGCCTAACAAATCCTTGCAAATGTGGGGATTTCTGTGTCATGAAGGTGCAGGAGCTCAGCTGGAGGACAGCCACTGGCATGGAGTGGCTGGGAGCTGCTCTCCAGGTCAGGAACCCTGGCAGGGCTGACCCCAAGCTGAAGATCCCCTCTGGAGAAGCTCAGGCAGACATTTCAGGAACAGCCATGAAAAGAGATGCTTTTCTGGCTAATTTAGATTTTTGCAAAGGAAGAGCTTCTCCCAAGTAATATGGTTGAAAACCATTAAAAATAAAAAAGCAATGCTCCCCCAAAACCCTAAAAGAAGTAATTAGAGGAGCAAGAGGCTCCCAGCCACCACCTGAGGGCTGTTAGCATACCTCAATAGCCCAGAAAAAAAGGTATTGCTGTAAGTGGGAAGGAGTATGAGCTGTCCCCAGTGCCCTGTGGGCAGCCGGGGGGTGTGGGGGGCAGGAAGCCTCCAAAAAGCAGCAGGAAACCAAGGGAAGGTGGAAGCAGGGCTTGAAGCACACCTGTGAGGGATGCTTGCCCGGCTGGGACACCAGGAGATGCTGGGGCCATGGCCAGAGCAGAAGGTGATGAGCTCCCAGTTATGGTGAGGACATGGGACCAACCTGCGTGGGACCCCCACGGTGCTGGAGGAGCTCGATGGTGCGTGGGGACGGGGACCCAAGTGGGGCAGCATGGCCACCACCAGCCCATGCCCAAGCTGGGGGGCCCAAGCACGGCCGTGGGGTGCCGATGCAGGTGACGTGGTGATGCACACAGGGTGATGCAGGGCTGGCCCTTGCAGGTGAGGACACCGTCCTGGTGTCGATGCCAACCAGCCTCCAAAATCATCGGCTCAGTCTGGGGCGGCTGCCAAAAAAAGCCAGGGGAGTGCCTTGGGGGGAGCAGGAGGACAGGGCAGGGGCATCGCTGGCACCAAGAGGTGTCCCACATGGGGATGTCCCTCCAGCGTGGCCCATCGGGCAGGTGGGGACAAGGGGACAGGACCGTGGAAAATGGTCCCTGCTCACGTTCACAGCTGAAATACCACCTCATGCTGCTGCTGCCCCTGCCACGGCCTCGGGGTGGGGACTGCGTCACCCCTGCGGGCCTTTAGGGACCTCTGGCACCCCAAAGTGGGGGGAGCAAGCTGCCATGCCGCTGGGTGCCATGGAGAGGGGACATCGGGGGGGGGCACATGCAGGCACTGGGGCAATGCAACTGGGGCGAGCTGTTTGTGGGGGGCAATGCAATAGGGTGGGGGCTGCGGGGGGGGCAGAGCAATGG